GCCATCATGGACAATGTCACCAGCGACGCCAAGATCATAGCTCTCATGGACTGCTGCCACTCGGGCACCGTCATGGATTTCAGCAGTCCGCGGTGGCCCGCCACCACTGGGCGACGTCTTCGTCGCCGCCGCCGCCGCCATCGTCGTCTCCTTTTTTTTCCTGAGGTGGAGGTGGGGGGATAATGGTGGTGCAGGTCTGCTTTTTTTTGTTCTCGGTCTCTCTTGTTCCACTCCAGTATAATGTAGACATGTCGACTCACCAGTTCACTTTTGGAGGTCAGCGATGCCTTACTCCAGGGCGCCTTGCCACTGTCTGGCGGCGGGCTAGGAAGGGCCGCTCGGGAGGATCCCTAGGCGGCGGGAAGGGTCACAACAAGTTCCCAGCCGCCCTCTTCCAGAGTTGGTCAAGTTCAGCATCTATCCAGCAGCTTGCACGCCACGCTTTCGTCAGCGCGCTCCTGAGACGCCATGCTCTCTCACCTTCTTCGTTCTCGTTATCGTCCTGATTCCAATTATCATTCCCCCCCCCCTCTCTCTCTCCTCGTCGTCCTCCGCCATCCCTCCTCCTTTAAACCACTGTTCTCTCTCGCGCCACCATACTTGTCGTTTGGGCGGTCCCGGCGATTCGCCTGAGACCTCAAGCTTTACGATACGGAAGCCTGAATGAACACGAAATGCATGGATGGAGGGCGGGTCGTTTTCAAAACGGGGCTCTCGCGCTCGCGCTGCGCACATCCGTCATGAAACATCCAGCATTTGCACGGATGCAGGGCGGGCCGTTATCTTGGTTTGTCTCTCGCCGCGTCGCCGCGCGCAATCGTCTTCAGCATTGCTGACAGTGACACGCATGGGGGTCGAATCGTTCTCAGGCTTGAGCTCTCGCCGTGGTGACGCGCACGCTCCTTTTTCGAAAACACACCCAGCAGTTACAAGGATGGAGGGCGGGTCCTGTTGAGAGTGAGGTTCGCACCTGAGCTTTCTCACGGTTCCACTCCCCAAGTAGGCTTGCCCAAGGGGTTCTTACTTGCTTCAAGGTTGGTGCCTCCTATTGTTACTTTGCCCGTAGCTCGGAGGTTCCTCGGGTTCCTCGGGTTCCTCGGGCTCCCCGCACCCGGTGCCTCCTGTTGTTACTTTGCCCGTTTCCTGGAGGTTCCTCGGGTTTCCGGGTTCCTCGGGTTCTCCGCCTCCGGTGCCTCCTATTGTTTTGTTGCCTGTTTTTCGGAGGTTCCTCGGGTTCCTTAGTCTTGTACTTTGATTTGGTTCCTCGGGTTCTCTGCTCTTGTTTCTCGGGTTCCCCGGCATTGCAAAGCAATGTCAAGCAATTCCAAGCAACGCCAATCAATGCAAAGCGATGCCGACCGCCAACCCATGCAAAGCAATGTCACGCAATGTCAAGCAGTGCCAAACAATGGCCAAGCAATGCCAATCAATGCCAAGCAATAAGCAATGCCAAGCACTGCCAAGCAACGCCAATCACTGCATAGCGATGCCAATCTATTCAAAGCACTGCCACGCAATGTCAAGCAGTGCCAAGCAATGCCAAGCAGTGCCAAGCAGTGCCAAGCAATGCCAAGCAGTGTCAAACAATGCCAAGCAATGACAAGCAGTGCCAAGCAACACCAAGCGATGCGCCAAGCGATGCGCCCATGCGATAATCGGGGTCGCGCCAGGTTCATTTTCACAAGGGAAAATTTGTACGGCAGTTGCACACATTGATGTCGGTTCTTTCTCAACATTGGATTCTCGCCAGTGCCTTTGCAACACTTGCACGGGTTCAGGGTGGCTCCTTTTCAAGGGCGGGGCTGTTGCTGGGCACCTCTCAAGATCTTTGACCACAGCTTGCCGCATTCCTCACAGCTCGCAGGACGAATGGCGGCTCATGTCGGAAAGGAGCACCCGCCTGCATTGCGGGCACACAGGGGGGCTCGGATTTCCATGGGAGCGCCTCGTCAGTAATAGAGAATGCGCAGCGGGACCAGCGAGGAGAGAGCTTGGGACAGGAGAGTGTATTAAGTAATCGGTGATGCATCTTGGGTTCTCTCTGGTCCTCCGCCTCCTCCCTTTCCCTCCCCCTTCCTCCCTCTCCCCCGTTCCCCTCCCCTCCCTTCCTGCCCTTCCGCTTCGCCCCCCCATGCCCGTATCCCCCGCCCTCTCTTTCCTACTTCAAGGTTTATGTTTCCCAACCCTTCTCGCCCCAAGAGGCCCAAGCGGCCTGAAGGAGCCGACCTACCTCCTTACTCTCTCCCTTCCTGATATCCCTCCTTCCTCCCTCTCTCTCTCTCGGCTCCCCGCAGTCCACCTCCCCCCGCCTCAGGGAGGCGCCAGGGTGAGGCGGAGAGAGGGTGTCCGATGGGGAGGGGGTGGGTGGGTGGGCATGGCCAAGGGGCGCTCCAAGGAGACGCCCAGGCGCCGGTGCCGACGCCCCGCCAGGCTGCCCCGACCTTCGGCGCTGCTCTTTTTCAGTGCGGGCCCCCCACTGGGCCTCGGCACCTGCCCTGGGCCCAGGCTCTCCTCCCGGGAGTGTCCTTCGCCGCCTCGGGGGCCCTGGGCGTCAGCATCGAGGAGGCGCCGCCGGTGTGAGAGCAGTTGCCGCGGTCGGTGGTCTCAGGGCGACGAGGTCTATGCATATCCACCGCTCCTGGCCGGGCTCATCCTGGGCCCAGGAGCTGTGCATATATGCCTCCCTGGCCTGGCCAGGAGGGCGCGTGCACAGCCCCCGGTCCCAGGATGGGCCTGGCCGGGAGCGGTGGACATGTGTACAGATCTCGTCGCCCTGTCTGGGGGCGCCTTTGCCCCGCCCTGCAGGTGGGCCCAGGAGGGCTTCAAGGCCATCTCCATCAGCGGCTGCGAGGATATCGCCTGGCCCACCCGCAGACGAGATCGCTGCCCTTGCCGCGTTCTCGTTCTTTGGGGCTCTCTCGGGCCCCCCCGTCACCGCGGCCGGATCCGCCTCGAGGTCCTGACCAGGTCGCATCCTGGGAGAGGTCCAGGGACCAGCAGTATGGTTTTTTTGGCTCCGCTGGTGAATGCTGCTCCCCTCTCTCCCCCTATCCCGACCACTCTTCGGTTTTTTTTTCTTGCATGCGTTTTTTTTCGCACGGACCGTCTTCGGTCGTTCGGAAGGGCACCGTCGTCTCGGCCTTTGCCACTCTTGTTTGTCGGCAGCTACGCAAGCTGAGTAGAATTTTGCAAGTCTCCTCTCTACCCCGAGAGTGTTTTTCCTTAATAGCGTTTCGCCAGGCGGTTACGGGGAGCCCAAGGACGTCTGGTCCGGCAGCAGCCGGTGCGGTCGCCGTTTCGCCTGAGGCCTCCTCGCAGTTTCTTCCGGAGTCGTGTCTTCGCCACACTGCTGGTTACACTTTTTGGTCCGTGCCACGGTTCCTTGTAGGACACATAGGTGAAGGTGCACATCGCCTTGCCCTCACCCCTGTCTCACGGCCACGGCCCCTGGTACAAGAGTGTACGGAGGTGTGCACGGCCGTGCTCGCACCCCTGTCACGCCAAGGAGTCCCTGGGAATGTCTGGGAGTGCACGTTTTCACTGGCCCTCCTAGGAGGCCGCCTCCTTCTCGACCCGTCTCTTCACCTTTGCTGCTGTCAGGGTTCTTTGCTGGGGCAAGTGTTTGTTGGTTTGGCAGTGTTCCCGTCGTGCCCCCCTCCCCGAGAACTCCGGATCTCATCCCTGGGACCAGTTTTTCATTATGGATGCTCTCTGATAGCCCCATAGGTCGCCAGAGGTTCCCCGAGGTCTCCAGCGGAGGTGTCCTGATGCCTCTGGAGAGGAGGTGGAGGTGAAGGAGGATGACGATGGTGAGAGGGGAGGGGGGTGGAAGAGGAGGTCAGGAAAAGGAGAGGGCAGGAGGAAGGAGGGAGGAGAGAGGAGAGGTGAACGAGGAGGGCGGAAACACGTGAGGAGGAGGAAGTGGCGGAAAAGGAGGAGGAGGAGGACGAGGAGGAGGAGGAGGAGGAGGAGGAGGAGGAGGAGGAGGAGGAGGAGGAGGAGGAGGAGGAGGAGGAGGAGGAGGAGGAGGAGGAGGAGGAGGAGGAGGAGGAGAAGGAGGAGGAGGAGGAGGAGGAGAGGAGGAGGAGGAGGAGGAGGAGGAGGAGGAGGAGGAGGAGGAGGAGGAGGAGGAGGAGGAGGAGGAGGAGCAGGGGGATGAGGAGGAGGAGGAGGAGGAGGAGGAGGACCATGAGGATGAGAAGGAGGAGGAGGAGGAGGAGGAGGAGGAGGAGAAGGAGGAGGGAGCAGCAACACAGGGGGGATACGATGAGGGGGTGCGGTTGCTCATCATCCATCGACTTTCTCCTCCTCCTCCTCCTCCTCCTCCTCTTCCCTTCTCCTCCCTCCTCTATCTCCCGTCACCACCCTTCCTCATCTTCCCCTTCCCCCTCCTCTGCCGCTTGCCCGGAGAAGGAGGACCTCCTGCCTCTCCTCCACGGGCCCTTTCTCTTCGTCCACCGCTCCCTCCTCCCCCTTCAGCATTCATTCCTCCAGATGTTCCATATCTGAATCCAGCAGTGTGTCAGTGTGTGTGTGTGTTTTTGTGTGTTCCAGCTTCCTGATGGACTTCCACCTTGCCACCTAGCTGGCCGACAGCCCCCCCTCTGTGGGACCGTCCATTCCATCTTACCAATCAAAGTCCAACGCCGTCTCTTTTTCCTCTCAGCGTGGACGTTTTGGCCGTCACGTATTCTTCGCTCGACAGTGGGTATCGCGCGCGAGCGGGCGAAGTGCAGCTCTCGCCCAAACGCCGCGCAGATTTCATCCGAAGGTGGCGCTCCCACCTCTGTGCGCTGTGCGTCTCTTTCGCTCGCCCGGTCGTCGGGGCCAGGGCCGACCGCGAGCGGGCGAGTGGCCGCCCCCACCACATTTCCGTGCAGAGTGCGGGTTGGAGTGGCGTTCTTGCCTGGGGGGCGGTCCGTATACTTCCTTCGCCCCTCGTCGTGGGGGGCGGGGCCGCGCGCGATCGGGCGAAGATGCCGCCCCCGCCCACGCTCCGTGCAGGTTTTTTCCGTGGACGTGCCGGTGTTGTGAGGGCGTGGCGCGTGCTTTGCCTGGGCCGCTCTCGTCGGAAATTTGGCGGAGGAGGAGGACGAGGAGGACGAGGAGGACGAGGAGGACGAGCAGGAGGAGGAGGAGGACGAGGAGGACGAGGAGGAGAGGGCTGACTCGTAGGGTGTGGAACCCCGCCGTCCGCTGGGATCACGGGGCTCAAGGGTAAGAAGGCGACGCGCGGGCCAGCGCGTCGGATGAGCTTGCTGCTGCAATCGGTACTGGCTGCCGAGTGTCAGCATGTTTGCGCCGCCCAGGGGGGGCATCCGCTTCTTCGCCTGGAGGCCTGGGGCAGCGGCTGGTGCCGGCACTTCGTGCCTCTGGAGGGGGTGCCTTTGGACCGCGGGGCCCTTCGGCCCCGCTTGGCTGGGTGGCGCACGGAGTGAACTCCTGCAGGCTGAGGCCGTGGCTGGAGGTGCTCACGCCGCTCCTCGAACCCTACGACTACCAGGTCCGTTGCGCCGACGGTCGGTGGGTGGTCCAGATCGAGGTTGACGACGACCACCACCCCCAGCCTGACGGCACTGGGGCGGGACCCACGGCCGCCCAGGAGCCAGAGCTGGAGCCCTTGTTGGACGGTGCTCCCGGAGCCCCGCCAGCCTGACTCCGCGGCCGCACTGTCCGTGGGAGTGGTCTGGGTCCGTAGTGGCTCGAGCACGCCCCTGGCTCAGGTGCGCGCTCTGGCCGCGGCGTCTTGGAAACCGTGGCGGCGCGGCGGCGTTGGCGGCGGCAGCGGGCGGCCGCCTCGGCTGGCGTCGCGGCGTGCGCCGCGGTCGTCGCCGGCGCCGCGGGCGATGCGGGCGCCGCATGGCGCTGCCTGCGCTGCGGGCGCCGCGTGCGCCGCCAGCGCCACGGACGCCGCGGGCGCCGTGGGCGCCGCGGTCGCCGCGGGCGTCGTGGGTGCCGCCGGCGTTGCGGTTGCCGCGTGCGCCGCCGGCGCTGCCGGCCCTGTCGGCGCCGCCGGCGCCGTGGGCGCCGCGGGCGCGGTTGGCGCCGCCTCGGCCGCCGCGGGCGCCGCGGCGGCTGCGGCCGCTGCCGGGGTCTGGGCGGCGATGGCCGCCCCCCCAGGCGGCGGTAGCTGCGGCCCGCGCGGCGGCCCGGCCGTGCGCGCCACCAAGTTGGCGTCGCCTCGAGGTGCGGTTTCGGGGGGGCGGCTGGACGGACGTCCAGAAGGACGTCGATGACGAAGAGGCACAGGAGGTCGTGGAGGACGTAACGGACAAGCTACACTGCGGAGATCGGCGAGCGCGCAGAAGGAGCGCGGTGGCAGCTGGCCAGGTCGCTGCTCAGCGAGATGCTGTTTGCGAAATCCGAGCCCAACGCGATCAGCTACAGTGCCGGGATCTCCGAGTGCGAAATTAGTGAGCAGCGGTGTTGGGCCGTGCCGTTGCTCAGCGGAATGCTGGGTGTGAAGGTGGAGCATTGCGCGATCAGGTACAGTGGGCTCAGTGGGTGGGAAAATGGAGAGGGGCCACGACGTTGCTCAGCGAGAGGCAGGTCTCCAAGTTGGAGCCCAGAGCGACCAGCTACATTGCTGGGATCAATGATTGCGGGGAAGCGAGAAGTGGCGGCGCGCTGGGCCACTGCTCAGCGAGTCGCTGTTTGCAGTGTCTGAGTCCAGCGCGATCAGCTGCAATGCCGGGATCACCGAGTGCGAAGTTCGAATAGTTGGTAAGTCGGATCCCAGCTCGATCAGCTACAGCACTCGGATACGCGAGCGCGAGAATGGAGAGCAGTGGCAGCGGGGCATGCCGCTGCTTAGCGAAATGCCGGGTTCACAGTCGGAACACAGCGCGATCAGGTACATCGCCGGGCTCAGCGAGCGCGAAGATGGAGGGCAGTGGCAGCGGGCTGCTCCGCCATCCGACGCCTCGCCCGATGTCCAGCTCGACGCTGAGCCCTGCGCCTCGCCCCGTGCCCAGCCCGACGCCCCGCCGCGCGCCCAGTCCGACGCGTCTCCTGACGCCCAGCCTGGAGCCCAGCCCTGCGCTCCACCGGACACTCCGCCCTGCTCTTCGGCCTCTGACGCCTCTCCCGACGCCCGTCCCGACACCCGGCACCCGACTCCCTTCCGTCATCGGCTCCCGACCCGACGCCTCGCCCAGCGCCAGGCCTGTTGCTGAGCTGGAGCCAAACGTCTTCAGCCACAGTGTCGAGATCAGCGAGTGTGATGTTGGGGAGCATTGGCAGCGGGCCGTGCCGCTGCTCAGCGGAGTTCTGGTAGGAGAGTTGCAACCCAACGCGCTAAGTTAAAGTGTTGGGATCACAACATCTTCGCCACCACAGCGCGGGTAACCGATGCCAGCATCTCCGCCAGCGCAGCGCGGATCACCGACGCCAGCGACTTCGCCAGCGCAGCCGGGGGCGCCAACGCCAGCGCCCGCGCCAGCACGGCCAGGAGCACTGGGGCCAACATCCTTGCCAGCGCAGCGCGGATCACCGATGCCAGCGCCCTCGCCAGCGCATGCGGGGCCGACGCCAGCATCTTCGCCATTGCAGGCGGGAGTACGAATTCCAGCATCCTCGCCAGCCCAGCTGGGGGCACCGACGCCAGCATCCTCGCCAGCACAGCGGACCACCGACGTCAGCATCCTCGCCAGCACAGTGCGGATCACCGACGCCAGCATCCTCGCCAACACAGCCAGCGGCACCGACGCTAGCGTCCTCGCCAGCACAGCCTGGAGCACCAACGCCAGAGTCCTCGTCAGCGCAGCGCGGATCAGCTGCGCCAGGATCTTTGCCAGCAAAGCCGGGGGCATCGACGCCAGCATGTTCGACAGCGCAGCCGGGAACACCAATGTCAGCATCCTCGCCAACCCAGCTGGGGAAACCGATGCCAACACCCCCGCCAGCACAGCGCGGGTCACCGACGCCAGCGCTCTCGCCAGCACAGCCGGGGGCACCGACACCAGCATCCTCGCCAGCACAGTCATGAGCATTAACGCCATCATACTCGCCAGCGCAGCGCGATTCACCAGCGCCAGCGCCTTCGCCAGCGCATCCGGGATCGCCGACGCCAGAGTTTTCGATCTGAGAGCAAAGCACGGTGCGAGTCCATAGATAGTGCTCGCGCCGCAGCGCCGCGCTTGGATGTTCGGGAGGTTCCACCCCCGCCTGTGCGAGTCTCGCGTTGCCCCCCCTCCCCCCCTGTCCCCCCTTTCCCCCTGCTAAATCTTCAGTGCGGGACCGCGCGCGCACATGTTCCGTTCGCTAGTTTGGGATGCGCGCCACTCCCAACATCATGTTACGGGGTGTGGGGGGTGTGAGTGGACGGTCCCGTTTCGCTCCACCTGGCTAACTTGGTTCCCGCTCCCACTTCCCCTCCTCCTCTCTGCCTCTTTCCCTTATCCTCCTCCACATGCCGCCCCCCTCCCTTCCTCCCTCCTCCTTGTCCTCATCCTCCTCTCCCCTTTCCTCTTTCCTCATCTTCTTCCTCATCCTCATCCCATTCTGCGTTCCTCTTGCAAGTGCCCCTCGTCGATTCGTAAGCAGCCCCCAGACCTGTCCAGGACTCTCAAGGGGAATCCAGCCGTGGCGACCAGAGGCGTTCCGTAGGCCCCGGAAGAGTGGAAAACGCAACAGATCTCGACCGTTGACTTGTCGTCGTCGTCGTCGTCGTCGTCGTCGTCGTCGTCGTCCTGGCCGTCTCGTCGTCGTCGCCTTGGCCGCCAGGACAACCAGACCTCGGCAGGCACCGGCAAGGGCGGCATGTTCTCGCGGGCCCTCTCCAGGGCCATCCAGGAGACGCGGATCTGGAGGAGAACCGCAGGAGGATTTAGAAGCAGAAGGTGGGGTATCAGGAGGAGGAGGAGGAGGAGGAGGAGGAGGAGGAGGAGGAGGAGGACTCTTATTTATCCTCCTCCTCGTCCTCCTTCTTCTCTCTGCTCCCCCTCTTCCTCCTGCTCCTACTCTCTCCTTCCTCCTCTCTTTCCTCCTCCTTCTTACTCTTCTTCCTTTCGCCCTTCCTCTTCGCCCTCTCCGTCCTCCCTTACTTAATCGCTACGCTCATTCCGCCGGCCCATATTGCCTCGCCGCTGTCGTTTGTCGGGGTGTTGTTGTCAATGCGGTGCCGTTGAGCGGCTGGGCTCTTCTGGAGCGTTTCGGGCTACTCCGGGAGGCCTCTTGGGCTGTTTTGTGGCGATCTTGTGAGCCTCTTCGGTAGTCTTCGAGCTCCGGGAAGCCGAAAAGGCGAAAACGGCAATTTCGTTGAAAAGCATATAGAAAATCCTCAATTTCTGCCTCGTGGGGCTGTCTTGGGAGGCCTCTTGGTGGCCTCTTCGGGGGTCTTGTACGCGTCGTGGGCCGTCTGGAAGCCATCGTGGGTGTCTCGGACCGATCGTTCGACGAGTGCCAATTGGAGCGCTGCCAATTGCCCGAGTGATCGTTGTCAATGCGGTGCTGCTGGATGGGGTTGTTGATCATCTATTGGTCTTCGGACCATCCCGCCACAGTGCCTGGGTGGGTCAGAGGCCTCATGGATGTTGGTTGGGCTTTCGTGGTTGGCCTCTCGGGGGCCTCTGGGAGGCAGTTTTGAGGCCTTTGGTGGGCCGTGTTGGGGCCGTGTTGGGGCCTCTTTGGGGCCTCTTGGGGCTTCTTGGGGTGCCTCTTGGGGGCCCCCCTTGGGGCCTCTTTGGGGCCTCTTGGGGCCTCCAGTGAGCCTCTTTGGGCTGAAGGCTGGACTTTTCGGTTCCTGGTCCCCTTTTTTGGCATCTCTCGTGGCCCTCTTGGTGCCCTCTTGGTGCCCTCTTGGGCCGTCTTGGGCCCCTCTTGGGGCTCTCTTGGGCCCATCTTGGGGGCGTGTTGGGCCGTCTGGGGACGATGTTGGAAGCCTCTGGGGCAGTTCTGGATGCTGTGAACCCTCAAACGTCGTGCATGCGACAAATGTTAGTTTTCCGGAGGGAACGGGACGATTTTTGCTTCTTGGGGCCCTCTTGGAGAGCCTCTTGAGGCTCTCTTGGGGCTTTTCCGCGGCCTCTGGGGCCATCTGGAGACCATCTTGAGCGTCTTGGAGCGATCTTTCGGCGACTCGGGGCCTCTTGGGCCGTGTAGGGGGCGTCCCGGCGCCCTCTTGGCGCGCTCCTGGGGCGCCCTGGGGGAGTCAGTCGGGCATCGGCCGTGAGTTTGTTTCGTCCAGGGGTCCCCAGGGGGCGCCACGCGCGCGCGAACTACAAATACTGTTAACCTGCTCCTCCCTCCCCCTTCTCCCCGCTCCCTGCCTCCCTCCCTCCCTTCCCCTCCCTCCCCGATCCCCGCTCGCAGCCTCGCCGCGCTGCTGCCGCCGCGGCCGCTCTCCCTGCAGCGACCCAGGGCCGAAGCTCGCCCCAGCCTCCCCGCGCGGCCTCCCCCCGCCGAGCCGGAGCAGCGCCCGCCGAGGGGCCCCCTCGCTGCGATGCTGCGCCTCGCGGCGGCGGGCGCGTGCCTCGTGCTGGGCGCCTCGGGGAAGGCCGACGGCACCTGCGGCTACGAGTGCACCAGCGACTCGGAGTGCGGAGGCTCGCGCGGCGCGCCGGGGGAGGTGGGAGGGGCGGAGGCCACGGGGATGGGGGGGGGGGCTCGCCGCTCGGAAGCCCTCTTGCCTCCCGTTTCTGCCCTCCAGGCGCTCTCGCCTCGGGCGGGTGGGGCGGGTGGGGCGCGGCGTCGGCCTCCTGCCCAGCTGCGAGCTCCTGGTGGCACTGACGCTGGTGCACACTCCGTGTCGGCGTCAGCGCCGGGGGCGTCCCAGAGGGGGGGGGGTGACGACGGGCCTCTCCGAGAGGCCCCTTCCGCCCTCTGGGAAGACGGTCCCGCCCCCCCCCACACCTCACCGTCGCCCTCCCGCGGCGCGTCTGCTCGCCGAGAGGGTGCGGGCGGGCGGGCAAGTGCAGCTGCCCCGACGGCCAGAACTGGTCCTTCCCCCAGATCAGCTGCTCGTGCGTGTCGGCCCCAGACGGCGCCCCGAGCTCGAGCTCGGTCGGCGCCAGCGTGGAGGACACCAGGTGGCCCCTGCAGTGGACCGCGAGGGTGGAGGGGTGGGTCTACGGAGACTTCTCTCACAAGGCCTCCCCCGCCCTCGGCAGGTTCCACTACGATGCGGTGCTGGGGAGGACCCGCGGGGACTGGACCCCGTACACTAACGGGAAAGACTGCACGCAGATTTGGATTGCAGACACGTCTGGTCAGAAGAAGTCCCAGTACTACGTGAAGGCGGGGCCGCTGTGCCTGACCTTCCCGATCAGCGACAAAGGGGCTGGCGGCATGGCTGTGGGCGTGGAGAGGCCTGACTGGGTGAAGACCTGCAGCGATGCTGGTTATGCAAAGTACGTGGGCCGCGAGCAGGTCAACTTTGAAGGAAAAGACGTCTGGGCGGACCACTGGTCTTGCCATGTGGACTACGCGGCCATGAACCAGTCAATCGTGTTCCAGAACTGGCACTCCCTGGGGCTGGACGGGGTGCCGAAGGGGCTCCCTTTGCGTGTCACGGGCGGCAACTCGGCACCAAGCCCTACGAAGGGCTCCCCTCGCTTGAGCACAGTGTGGTATACCGATTTCAAGACGGGTGCTGGTGTGACAAAGCCAGAGGACTTCGAGAAGCCATCGTGGTTCTGCATCCCAGTCGGCCTGGAGGAAGCCGAGTCTTTCTTCGGACATCCCGTGACGCGGGATCACGTGCAGTCTCCAGACTTCCAGAAGCGCGCGCACTTCTTGCCCCACGCAAAACCGGGCGCCAGGGACCTCGCCCGTGCCAGGCGGCCGAAGCCTGGCCTCCCCTTCCTCGGCGAGTCGTTCGGCCATGCGATGCGTAAGCTGAACAGCCTGCTGACGAAAGAGGCCGAAGAAGGAAACACGCCATTCACACAAGCCTTCGGAGCTCCGCGCCCCCGAGCGCGCCAGGGGCGGCGCCGGAGGCGCCGCCAGAGGGGTCCAGCGCCGATCCCAGAAATCCGAGCGGACCTCCGAAAGTTATGTTTATGGCGTTTTTTGTGGTTCTTGCTTTTCCTCTGCGAGGAGGGCCTCCGGGTGCGGCCTTGCCGGGAGTTCTCGCTGGAGGAGGTGCACGAGGCCCAGCGGCTCCTCTTCCACGCGCGCAGCGCGGAGCTGCACGGCGTCTACCACCAGGCCAACGACACGCGCCGCATGGCCCACTCCAGCCTCTCCCAGCTCGACGCCGAACATGGGGAGCACGCCCTCATCGCAGCAGAAATGCCCGAGCTCGCGGCCAAGCTGCGTGACGGTGCCTGCCACGAGGCGGTCATGTGGTATCCGGAGGGCGCCAACTGCATGCCTACACAGATCCCGGCCAGGCCGATCCTGGTCCCAGTGTCGGTGTACGGTAACGTTCGTGTCGTATCGACGCGGCGACGACCAGAGTGCAGGCAGTCAAGATTGAACGCCGCCGGTGGCCCTGGCACTACATCGGCCAATATGGAACGATCTGGCGATCGAAACGCCGCCGCTCGTTGAAGGTTGAACGATCCCCGCGGTGTCAGAAACCACCACCGGGGTCGTCAAGACACGAAGCCTGTCGTGCCGTCCTGTTGGGGCCAGGAGGGTGCATGCAGCGTGCCTGCGCCCAGTGTGGAGCCCGTACCTCCGACCCGTCGTGTTCTTTGGGTCATAACGTAGGCACCAGGGCTCAGGACCCGATCCCTGGGGCAGCTTGCTCGTCGACGATGGCTGTTTTGTTACGGTGTTCCATCATCTTCCCTCTCCTTCGTTTTTCCATTCCCTTGTACACTCCAAGTGCGTTTTCCCAGCCGCCCTGCTCGAAGAGTTGCCACTGTGCATCTCTTCTCTGCCTGCGCGTCCATATATGGATGCTTGGCTTCGTGCGTGCGTGCGGCGTTTCGCGAACTGTTGAGGTTCGAGGGGCGAAGCCGCATGAGCACAGATCTTCCGAAGTAGTCCGCGCATACTCCCGTGGGTCGGCGCTGGACCGGCCTCTCCTGGCGCGAAGCGCGCCACAGCTGGTGTCAGAGGCGCCGCCAGGGGGACGTGCAGCGCCGGCCCAAGAAGTCCACGCAGACCTCGCAAAGTTTTTGTATGTGCCGTTTTTCAAGCAGTGGCGACACGTCCTGGCTCGCCGATTGGCCCACCAACGAATGTTCCAAGAACCTTCTGTTGTGTTGTGCACGACATGTTCTTAATACATTTCTGGCTGAGACTGTTCTGTTTTAGCACATCGGCATTCTGCTCTAAGGACATTGTTTGCGTTCTTAGAACATTATTGGGTGCTAAGAACATTTCGTGGTGGGCCTAGGAGGAATTCCAGAGCGGTTGGTCCCTGCTCAAGATCTGCCGTTTTGTGTTCCTCCACCTCAGGTGTGTCCACCTTTCCCTTGCGGTCGTTCTCCGCCCCTGTTTTCTTTTTGACGGTCCCTGATCCCGAAGGCGGCCCCCCCCGGGAGGCCGAAACCGAGGACGAGCGCTGGGACTGAACGACAGCAATCCGCCCGACGCCTTGCCACCCTCAGGGGCACAGGGGGACTCCGCCGCCGACCCATGAAGCCCGCGCAGACCAGTGAGATTCTCTTCCGGCAGGGCCTGCGCTCACGTCGGGGCCCTCACGCGTGCTCTCGAGTCATCGGGGACCGGAGGGCCTGCACGCGCCCCGCCTGGAAAATGTTGGGGCGCTGCCTGGTGCACGGGCGCTGGCCGGCTGTGGGGGCTCTGCGCGCCCCGTGCGCCGCCGGGCCGCCCGCGGCTCCCTCGTGCGCCTGGGTGGGCGCGGCGCGGTGTCAACCCCGGTGCCGGGCCGTGGCCTCCCGTGGCCGCCCCGTGCGCCGGGTGCACCACACAGCTTGCAGCACACGGCTTGCAGCACACAGGTGGAAGTCGGGCGTGTCCCTCTACAGGGGGGATATTCAAAAATAGTCAAAACATAGTCTGGTGACGATTCTTGGACTATTTTCGAGTGTTTGGGGATATTTTTGGAGTATTTTTTTATTTTTCGCCCAAAATCCCCCTGTAGGGGGACACGCCCGACTTAAACATAGTTTTCATTACACGGCTTGCAGCGCACGGGTTGTACCCCATATGATGCACCACGCACAGAATGCATCATATAGCTTGCGTCGTGTGGAGGCATTCTATAAGGAGTCGTTGCTTTCAGGAGGGGCACTCGGACATTCCTGACATTGTGAGGATTGGCGGGCGCAGTTCAGGGTCTGGGAGAGTTCCTTAAGTGGTGATGGACACAGGCCTTGTGGTGCACACAAGCATGTGTGTGAACGTGCACACAGCTTTCTCCTTCTCCAACACGGCCGCGATGAAGCGGGAGAGGATGATGTTGTTGTTGTTGATGATGATGATGATGATGATAGGAGGATGAGGATGATGATGAGGATGAGGGTGATGACGATGGTGTTGATGATGATGACGACGATGATAATGATAATGATACTGATTGATGATGATGATGATGCTGATGACGATGATGATGATGATGATGATGATGCTGATGCTGATGCTGATGCTGATGCTGATGCTGATGCTGCTGATGATGATGATGATGATGATGATGATGATGATGATGATGATGATGATGATGATGATGATGATGATGATGATGATGATGTCGCATCGCGTAGCTACGTAGCTTGCACCGCGTAAAATTCACATGTAGACTGCAGTGACGCACTGTTTGGGGTCAGCGCTGCTCTTTTGGGTTGTTTTGTTTGCCTCCTGGGTGTCCACCACCACCTCTCCGCCGAGGCTCTGTCCCCTTCGTCCGCACACATGCCTCGGGGCATAATGCGCTAGTCCCGCGTCTTCCTGGGCCGTCACTTCAGGATCGGTGCATCGGGTCCTCTGGCCAACATGCTTTCAACATCGGTGCCCGCTTGGGGTCCGTCCTGGCCAGTTCGTCGTCTCTGACAGAGTTTTGCCAGCCCCCCACGCCCGAAGCGGGCCCCCAGACGCCGAAAGTGGCGAAACAACTCGACGCCCGATCCTCGAACTTCGATCGCTGGCGTACCCCGCCCCCAGGTATGTCCACCACCTCTCCGCCGAGGCGCGGGGCGAGGTGCAGCGCCTGCTGACGCTCCCGCTGCTGCCGGAGGTGATGCACGACGCGCCGCGCCCGCTGGCGGCGGCGCCGCGCGGCGAGCAGCTCACACAGAAGGTTCGCCCTCGCCGTCGCCGTCGTCGTCGCCGTCGTCGTCGCCGTCGTCGTCGTCGTCGTCGTCGTCGTCGTCGTCGTCGTCGTCGTTGTCGTCGCCGCCCCCTCCTCCATCTCCCCATCGTTCTCCTCCCGGTCCTAGTCTTCCTCATTCCCGTTCTCCTCAGCGTCTCGCCTCCTTCCCTCCTCCCTTCCGTGGTCGGGCAAGAGCCCGTGGCCCTGGTCCCTCGGAGGACCCCAGTCTTCCCGTAAAGGTACCCTTCATGAGGGCAGAGCGGCCATCAGCCGAAAGCGCCGGCGCGTTGCAAAGCGAATGGTCCAAGTAGGACCCATCAGCGTGCTAGTAACATCGGCAGCAGTGGCCCAGACATGGCGGACGAAGCAGATCAGAACTCCATGAGCTGGATTTGGATTCGTCTTCCTCCTCCTCCTCATCCAATGCCCAATGCCTATTCGCATTCACACTCCCTTCCCTCTTCGTCTTAGTATTTCGCCTCCTCTTTCCTCTCCTTGTGGTTGCTCGCTCGCTCGCCGTACTTCAACTCGTCTCTCCATTTCTTTATCTTCCTCCTCTCTGCTCCTGGGGTGCTCTTTCTCCTCTCTCGTCGATTTCCTGTTCCTTCCTGACCCTCGGCCGTCTATTTGCCCTTCTTCGGCTTCTCCGCCTCGTGGTCGCCCCCCTCCTCCGTCGGCGGTGTGCCCAGAGGTGCACAGCCGCTACACGGAGCAGGTGAGCTGCGCCGTGTGCCACGTGGCCCCCGCGAGCAGCGGGAACTCGGAGCTCGTCGTCTGAGCATGGCGTTTCGGTAGCAAGCCATGGGGGCCTTGTATGCCCTTGTGACTCCGTCTTTAGACTGCACTGGCGTCGGTTAGCAGATGGAAATCGATGAGATGGCGCCGACTTAGCGTCGATGAGCGTCGATCAGCGTCGATTTAGCGACGATTTAGCGTCGACTAGCGTCGATTAGCGTCGACGCCCAAGGGCCAATAAGATGTTATGGAAGGCTCCAGTGAGCTGTCACCGAAGGGCGTGAGTGCAGCACCGCCACAGCACTCGCGCAAGACAGGAACAGTGTAGGCAACTTTCGCGGAGGCCCACGCAGACTTCTTGCCTCGGCGCTGGACACCCCCATGGCGGCGAGCGGGGCCTGCAGCACTGCCCCTGGCGCGCGACGCGGGGTGCAGCGCCGACCCAAGAGATCAGCACGGACCTCTGACAGCCCATGCCTCACGGTAGGTTCGCGCCAGCGGCGGTGACACCGGCGCAGGCGTGCAGGGTTGAACGCTGCCAGTGGCCTTGAATTCGCCGATTCCGAAGGGTCTGCACGATTGAAGAGCCGCGATCGTTCAAGGCTGGACGATCCACGCGGTGTCGGAGAAGCAACGCGCGTGTCGCCACGGCACGAACCTGCCGTGTGCTGCTAGGCACGCAGCCTCTCAGTGCCTGGCTTTCCATCCCCCCTGCCACAGGCAGCAGGCGGATGGCCTGCCAGGACTCGATGGGTCCAGGGCGCCGCTGCACCCGGCGCCCGCCAGAGTCCTCGGGGTCTGCAAGGTTACCCGCCCCCTGCGGATCGCCGTGGAGGTGGAGCTCTGGCCACGAACCCCTCTGGAGGTTCGCCGGGGACGCCTGTCCTGGACCTCCGATGTTCGCGACGCAGGCTCGAGCTCTCGACCCCATCCCCGGGGCCAGTTTTTCCGCTGCGTTGTTTTGTTAGAGGAGCGAGCAATGACATAAGCGTAAAAACTCGAAGATCCGCGCGGATGTCTCTGATCGGCGCTGGGGCCCCCTGGCGGCGCCTCCAGCGCCGCTCCTGGCGCGCGCTCCGCGCGCCTGGGGGGGGTCCAGCGCGGATCCAAGAAATCCGCGTGGACCTCCGAGTGTTCCGTCCACCTACTTTTCGTTTCTGCCATTCTTCGTTCGCCTATTGTTCCCCACATCCTGAGTGGGGTTCTTCTTTTCCCAGAACACCCTCTCCTTCCCACCCACCTCCCGCTCCATCTTCCATACAGCACAATATTATTCCTACCACACACACCATACCATACCATAGTTCCTACCACACATACCATACCATACCATACCATACCATACCACACCATACGTACCATACCGTACCATACCATACCATGGCGTACCATAGCATACCATACCATATCACACCAATGCCACACCCCTCCAGGGAGGCCCCGCCTGAGCGAGGAGGGTATCGGAAACCATACTATTTACATGGTTTCGTGCCCCTCCCACCCCTCCAGGGAGGCCCCGCCTGAGCGAGGAGGGTATCGGAATACCATACTATTTACATGGTTTCGTGCCCCTCCCACCCCTCCAGGGAGGCCCCGCCTGAGCGAGGAGGGTATCGGAATACCATACTATTTACATGGTTTCGTGCCCCTCCCACCCCTCCAGGGAGGCCCCGCCTGAGCGAGGAGGGTATCGGAATACCATACTATTTACATGGTTTCGTGCCCCTCCCACCCCTCCAGGGAGGCCCCGCCTGAGCCAGGGAGGCCCCGCCTGAGCGAGGAGGGTATCGGAATACCATACTATTTACATGGTTTCGTGCCCCTCCCACCCCTCCAGGGAGGCCCCGCCTGAGCGAGGAGGGTATCGGAATACCATACTATTTACATGGTTTCGTGCCCCTCCCACCCCTCCAGGGAGGCCCCGCCTGAGCGAGGAGGGTATCGGAATACCATACTATTTACATGGTTTCGTGCCCCTCCCACCCCTCCAGGGAGGCCCCGCCTGAGCGAGGAGGGTATCGGAATACCATACTATTTACATGGTTTCGTGCCCCTCCCACCCCTCCAGGGAGGCCCCGCCTGAGCGAGGAGGGTATCGGAATACCATACTATTTACATGGTTTCGTGCCCCTCCCACCCCTCCAGGGAGGCCCCGCCTGAGCGAGGAGGGTATCCGAAAACCATACTATTTACATGGTTTCGTGCCCCTCCCACCCTCCAGGGACTGAGCGAGGAGGGTATCGAAAACCATACTATTTACATGGTTTCGTGCCCCTCCAGGGAGGCCCCGCCTGAGCAGGGTATCGGAATACCATACTATTTACATGGTTTCGTGACCCTCCCACCCCATACCAGGGAGGCCCCGCCTGAGCGAGGAGGGTATCGGAATACCATACTATTTACATGGTTTCGTGCCCCTCCCACCCCTCCAGGGAGGCCCCGCCTGAGCGAGGAGGGTATCGGAATACCATACTATTTACATGGTTTCGTGCCCCTCCCACCCCTCCAGGGAGGCCCCGCCTGAGCGAGGAGGGTATCGGAATACCATACTATTTACATGGTTTCGTGCCCCTCCCACCCCTCCAGGGAGGCCCCGCCTGAGCGAGGAGGGTATCGGAATACCATACTATTTACATGGTTTCGTGCCCCTCCCACCCCTCCAGGGAGGCCCCGCCTGAGCGAGGAGGGTATCGGAATACCATACTATTTACATGGTTTCGTGCCCCTCCCACCCCTCCAGGGAGGCCCCGCCTGAGCGAGGAGGGTATCGGAATACCATACTATTTACATGGTTTCGTGCCCCTCCCACCCCTCCAGGGAGGCCCCGCCTGAGCGAGGAGGGTATCGGAATACCATACTATTTACATGGTTTCGTGCCCCTCCCACCCCTCCAGGGAGGCCCCGCCTGAGCGAGGAGGGTATCGGAATACCATACTATTTACATGGTTTCGTGCCCCTCCCACCCCTCCAGGGAGGCCCCGCCTGAGCGAGGAGGGTATCAAGAAAATGGGTCCCACGAAACCGTTAATCTCTTTATGTGGGGAACTCCGTTAGCATAATTTTGTTTATGCCATGTTTCGTTCACCTGCTCGTGCTGCGGGGAGCCCTGGGGCCAGGAGCGGGCCCCTGGAGGCGCAGGCTCAGGGAGAGCCGCACGTGGTGTGTCCGTGCACGCCGCCAGAGGTCTGGGCTCGGACGTCCGCCGGGCGCGCCCGTCCCCGGCCGGGGCCGCCGCGACCCGTTGCTCTTTGGAAGCACCCGGGAGCGATGTCGCCCTGGGGCCCGGCGCCTTCTCGCTCCCGCGGGGGCCCCTCGGGCTGTGGATCGAGGCCCCTCCCCTGGTGCCCTCGCGGAGGAGGAGGAGGAGGAGGAGGAGGAGGAGGAGGAGGAGGAGGAGAAGGAGGAGGAGGAGGAGGGAAGGAGGAGGAGGAGGAGAAGGAGGAGGAGAGGAGGAGAGGAGGATGGAGGAAGAAGGAGGATGGAGAGAGAGGAGGAGGCGAGGAGGGGAGGAGGAGGAGAGAGGAGGAGGAGGAGGAGGGAGGAGGAGGAGGAGAAGGAGGAGGAGGAGGAGGAGGAGGAGGAGGGAGGCCCCTTTGGAGGCTTGGGTTTTCTCTTGGGGCCGAACTCGGTGGGCCTGGGGCGGTCGGGCCCTCGGCGGTCCAGGGGCTACTTGGCGGTCACCCTCGTGGTGGGGGGTGACCCCTGCAGCTGCGAGGGGGGCTCTGCGGGATCGCCGCGCGCAAGTCGCCGGGAGGAGCATTGCGTCACGAAAGGGAGCAGGGCGAGGGCGAGGAAGAGGAGAGGAGATACCAAGGTGGAGGAGGGGGATGAGGGTGGGGAGGGCGAGGAGGTCGAGGAGGGTGGATGGGGCGTGGAGGGACGCGAGAGGAGGGGGGACAGCCGGAGAGGATACGGGGGGTTGTGAAGGTTATAAGGTGGACAAGCTAGAAAGGGGACCGTTTGTGTTCCCTGCAATACCTCCAGCCCGCTCTGGAGAAGGTCTGCAGTTACGTTCTGGCTGATGCGATAAGATGTTGCTTGCGATGTGCTCTGGCATCAGTGAGTGCGAATGGTACCGTGTGAACGACTTTTGCCACGCCAGAGGAGAGGAACATCAATCAAAGCGCTGTTGGGAAACATTCATGGCCTCACGCAGTAGTGTGCGCCTCGCGTCTGGTTCGTGGTTCGCCTTGCGACTTTCCCATTTTTTATTAAGGCTCGGGCGGGTGGTAATGGGGGGTGGCCCAAATGGGGGGTGAGGAAATTTACCCTAAATGGGGCCCTTCACGGCCCCTTTTGGAGCCAGTTGGTGCCCACAAGGGGCCCTAAAGGGCCCCTAGGGCCTTTCTCTTCCCCCCCCAATTGGGCCACCCCCCATCACCAGCCGCCCGAAAGGCGTGAGCTCGAGAAAGTTCAGCTCAAGCGTGTATATAAGCTCTTCCAGGCTGGGGTTACCCAGACCTCCGCCGGATTTGTGTCTCGTGTTCGGCCCGCGGGCCCGAGAGCTCTCGATCCACTCCCTGGTGTGGAGGGTTGCTCCGAAGGGCTTCGGCGACCTTTCCTCCCCCTCCTCCTCCTCCTCCTCCTCCTCCCTCCTCCTCCTCCTCCTCCTCCTCCTCCTCCTCCTCCTCCTCCTCCTCCCCTCCTCCCCCTCCTCCTCCTCCTCCCTCCTCCTCCTCCCCTCCTCCTCCTCCTTCCTCCTCCTCCTCCTCCTCCTCCTCCTCCCACTCCTCGCCCTCCCCTCCTCGGGTCGCTTACGGCCCCTGGGGAAACCGTCCACCTGGGGGCACTGCGTCGCCACTTTCTTTGTTCCTAACCATCCTGTGGTGTTGGGTCCTCGTTTTGAAGAGACGACGCCCGCGTCACTCACTCACTCCAATTCCCCCTCCTCTCTCCTCCTCCCTCCTCCTCCTCCTCCTACCTCCTCCTCCTCCTCCTCCTCCTCCTCCTCCCCTCCTCCTCCTCCTCCTTCTCTCTTCCTTCCTCCTCCTCCTCCTCCTCCTCCTCCTCCCTCCTCCTCCTCCTCCTCCTCCTCCTCCTCCTCCTCCCTCCTCCCCCTCCTTCCTCCCTGCGTTTCACCCACCCAGTACAGCGCTTCGTTGTCCCATCAGCGCTTCGTTGTCCCATAGGGAGCTCCACCGAAGGCAACAGTGCTACCGCCCGCATGCGTCACCCACACCCACTTCGGCACACCCCTCACACGCTTCGTGGCCCCATAGGGAGCTCCACCGAAGGCCCCAGTGCCACCGCCCACATGCGTCACCCACACCCATTTCGGCACACCCCTCACACGTCTCGAGGCCCCACAGGGAGCTCCACCGAAGGCCCCTGTGCCACTGCCCGCATGCGTCACCCACACCCGTTTCGTCACACCCCTCACATGTTTCGTGGCCCCATAGGGAGCTCCACCGAAGGCCCCTGTGCCACCGCCCGCATGCGTCACCCACACCCGCTTCGTCACATCCCTCACACGTTTTGTGGGAGGCGTTGGTTTCAGCAGCCCAAGGGGGTATAGCCACTTGGACTCTCGCACCCAAACTCGGAGACAGCACAGCGAGTGCCAGGACTGTGAGATGCAGATATGGGGATCTTCGCGCATCGAGTCACTTGTATGGAGCATGAGTCAAACTCGGCTCCGGAGAAATTGGGGGGTTTCTAGGGGCGCCCACGATGAGGTGTGGGGGTGTCGGCCCCAGAAAACACTACAAACAATTCCAGGCAACAGAAGGACTATTCTAACACGCTCGCTCCTTGCGGGCACTGTGGCAGATTGGCGCAATCTACGTGGTGAATTCTGCGCGCTTGCATACACGTGGTGCAATGTAAGTGGTACGATCTGAGTTGTGCAACTAAGTTTTGTTCGCGATGTGTTGTCCTTCCCACCGCTCGCGTAATCTTCCCACCCGCCCACCCGCAACTTGGTTTGCATAATGCATGAGGCGGCAAATGTGATGCTTGCGTGGCGCTTGCTGGCGCATCGCCGCGGCCGCGCTAGCGCGCGCAGGCTCGCGCGCAGAGCGGCCAGCTAGTCTGGCGCGACCGACGCGGCCGCGGTGGCGCTGACCGTTGGGCACTTTGCAGTGCGTTTCGCAGGCTGCGCTGGCGCGGGCACTTCAGTCCGAGTCGGTGACGTGGTCGGGCGCGGTATCATGGCGACGTCATCGAGGGCAGACACGATGATCATGGTAGCGATGATGATGGTGACGATGATGACGATGACGACGACACGGCCAATGACGGTGCCGATGCTGATCACGCCGATGGCGGTGATGGTGTCTTCGCGTCGGTGATGAAGGTTTTGGGGGGGGGGGTTCGACGTGCTCGCGCGGCCGACGCGCCCGAATGGCCTGCATGAAATTATTTGACAAATATAGTGCCCCCCCCAAACACGCGCGCAATGGCGTTCGAATGATTCCGACATGCGCGCGCGAGAGGCCAGTTCGGTCGCATTTGATGAACATCTTGGGCAACGTATGGGTTTGTCAACGTTTTACACGAGCGCGCGCCACCCATTTTTCGGGAACTGGTGTTGCAAACCCATATATATATATATATATATATATATATATATATATTGGTTCAATATTTTTTCAGGGCGCTCGGGCTTGAAGCTCCTGCGACGTCCAAGGTTTTTTTGAAAGAGTGTCGGCATGCGCGCGAAAACGCGCGCGTGTGCCTCTCGTCCAGTTTTTGCTAGCGTCACGAACACTGGCGACATGTGATGCACGAGTGTGCGCGCAAAACGTTTTTTGGCTGAGGATGGTGCGGTGGGTGGGGGGGGGTCGAGCCCGGTGTGGCTGGGACGGTGTGAATTCATACATCGAATGAACATCGGGGCGAAATTTCATGTCAATTGCGTTCCCCCAGGGCGGGCGGGTAATTCTGGGGTGGCGGTGGTGGTGGTGGTGGTGATTGATCATTTTTTGGAACGGTAATATTTGTGTTGCAACCTGTGCGGGGCAACCTTCGTACTACAACCCGTGTGGTGCAGTCTATGCTGTGGGGACCGCTTGTGTGGTATCATTTATATGGTGAGCTTTTTTTGGTGCCACGAGTGGGATGCAGCCTGCATTGTGCGACGTGTGTGGCGCTCCACAACGCCCCCCCCCGCGGCGCCGACAAGCCGAACATCCCAGCAGACACCCATCGGGCACCACAGGGCACAATGGGCGCCCATGAGCCAGACATCTGGCAAACTCCTCCACTTTGTTAGAATACACAGAGGGGATCACAAGGTTTTCTCTTAACGCCGCCACAGTGTCCAATGCCGCATCGCAGCAGCAATCATGTGAGCGATGGTTGCGCCATGTGGTGGCGAGCATACTTTGCGCTTCGGATGTCCACGCCCACTTCGCCAAACCATGCCAAACGAAACCGCGCCCAAACCAGGGCCAAGCAACGCAAATTGCGAGGGCGTCGCACGCGAAACCGCGCCCAACCTGGTCGAACCACGCAATTTGGAACGACGTTTCAAGCGACACCGCGCCGACGCCAGGCGAAATCAAACAAGTTGCGAAAACTTCTCGGGCGAAGCCGCGCCTAAACCAGGCGGAACTTAGCAATTGCGAGGACGTTTCAGGCGAAACGGAACCGAAACAAACCGACACCAGGGGTGAAACCAGGCAAATTGCGAGGATGTCCCAAGTGGCTTGCGCCGTCCAGCGGGGCCACACTAGGCGAAACCAGAGTCGAAACCAGGCGGTTTGTAAGGATTTCCTGGGCAGAATCGCCGAAACCAGGCTCCATCCACGCTCTTCAATAAGATTCTCACTATGTGGGTAGATGACCTCCTCCCCGCAGGCGCAAACCAGTTGAGAATTTGATGGGGGAGGGCATTTGGACCACGTGTCCGCTGAGGCGGACGGGGTTGGGCGCGGAAGGTTTCATCTGCCTTTCGGTGGTTTTTGTGGCATTGGTGTGGCGTTCAGAGACATGTTTCCGAACCTGTAGTAAGACAACCCAGTGCAGGATGTTTGCGGGAAAGCCGCCAGGATTGAACAAAACACTCTGGCGGAGGTCTGGTGATAATGGGTTCGAGGGAGCTCAGCCCGCATTTGCCTTGCTCGGCCGAACAGGCTACTGTCGAGGAGGCGATCGAGAAATCTATTCCCTCCTCTCTTCCTTCCTGCCAGCCTGCCTGCCTCTGCCTCTCTCTCTCTCTCTTTCTGTCTTGTCGTCGTTCTCCTCTTCGTCCTTCTGTTCTTCCTTCCGCCTTCCCCTTGTGCGAGAAGGCGAGGTCCGCAACATCCGGGGGACAACTGGACCTGAGGAGGAACAGCTGGCAGCGGCCCCCAGGCGCTCGTCTTCCTCCTCCTCCTCCTCCTCCTCCTCCTCCTCCTCCTTCTCCTTCTTCTTCTCCTCCTCCTCCTCCTCCCCCTCCTCCTCCTCCTCCTCCTCCTCCTCTCCCTCCTCCTCTTCCTCTTCGTCTTCTTCCTCCTCCTCCTGCTCCTGTTCGTCGTCGTCCTCCTCCTCCTCCTTCTCCTCTTCCACCTCCTCCGCCTCCAACTCCTCCTCCCCCTCTTCGTTCCGTAACCATTTTGGTTCAAGGCCATTTCGGCACGAGGTGGTCTGCGCGACCGTGGCCCTGCCCCCCCCTCCCCGACCCGTTCCGTCGGATCTCCTTCGCCCCCCGATCGTTCGGACCCACGGCGCGGCGCGTGCTCAGGGCCGCTCCTCCTTCCCTCTTTCCAGCCATGGCGGGCCTGCTGCGCGCGGCGGCATCGGATGCTGTCAAAGTTCATCTCGATGGCCAAGAGTCGGGACGATCAGTTCCGTAGTGTGAAGAGGATCCAGGGTGAGGCAGTGAACCAGGTAACTGTCGACCGCGATGCCAAACTTCGTTGGGCCGCCGATCAGATTGAGCAGACGCTTATTTATGTGTATGTTGTTGGAATATGGTGAGATCAGCAGGTTCGTCAGTTCATGCTGACATCGGCATGGGGGGGGGGATGACGGTTCGGGCCCTCGCAAGATGCATGGCCCTCACGGGCCATGTCAGGCCAGTGGCAATTACCCGTCTTGCTGTTCCCGGACCCCAGACACCTCCTTCAGAAGATCTCCTGAAATGGGCCGGCTGGCCCCTCCCTTCAACTGTTCGGCCAGACTGGCGAAGAGTCCATGGCCCTTGCCTGCCCTCTCACCCGCACGGTGAGCTTCTCGACCTCGGCAGGAGCCAGACGATGGGCAGGACGGCCGACGCGAGCCCGATCGGCCAGCAGCCATTGGGAGCTCTCCGTGCCCCGCCGTGGTGGGCTTTCCCCCTGCCAGTCGGAAGCTGTTCTCCTGCTTGGGGGGCATCGAGGTCGGCAGCGGTGGGTTTGGTGAACGAGTGTGAGGCCTCTCCGCCCCGCAGGTGGAGGGTTTCTCCGAAGGGCTCAGGCGACCCGTCCTCCTCCTCTCTCCTCCTCCTTCCCCTCCTCCTCCCCCTCTTCCCCTCTCCTCCTCCTCCTCCTCCCCTCCTCCTCCTCCTCCTCCTCCTCCTCCTCCTCCTCTCCTCCTCCCCGTCCTCCCTCCTCCTCCTCTCCTCCTCCTCCTCCTCCTCCTCCTCCTCTCCTCCTCCTCCTCCTCCTCCCCCTCGCCCTCCCCCTCCCCCCCCCTCCTCGCCCTCCCCCTCCTCGGGTCGCCTACGGCTCCTGGGGGAAACCGTCCACCCACAGCACCCCGGGCAAAGTCGCAGCTCCTTAGATGGGAGGTCCGGTTCTGGCGGTGAATTATGGGGGCACGGCTGTGTTCGGCAAGAGCCAGCACGTAGGATGTGTCAAGGCGTTGTTTAGTCAAATTATTTTTGTTGTCGGAGGAATCGGGTCGCCCTGGGGGTCTCTCCTCGTTGCCGCGGTCTTTGGGTCCTGTTTTGTGCCGAGCTTATCCTTTGGGCTTGGCCCCTCCCAATGGGTTCGTAGGCCGTCTGGGAGCGTCACGTCGGACAGCCTTTCGTCGCGCCAGGATGTTCGCCAGCCGGCCTTCTTTCACTGAGTAGTTCGTCTGGGGGTAGCCTCACCCCGCCAGGCCCTGCCTCTGGAGCGAACGGGGTCTTCTCTCCGTCCCCTTGTGTATCTCTCTGCTCTTGGAATACGCGCGCGCTCTCCTCTTCCCATGCTGCTGCTGCCCCTCTTGTTGCTGGCAGTCGTTACGAGCAGATGTGCAAGCTTGCTAGGAGGTTTGGCGTGGTCTGCCTTCAGTGTGCCTCGTGGGCAGTGGCAGGCGCGGAATTGCCTCGAAGGGGTGACAGGTGTCGGAATTATGTCATTGACCGCTCAATTTTTTGGGGGCCCTGCTTGGTGGGGGTGTTGTTGCGGCCACCACTGCAAAACTCATGGCGCAGTTCGACTCTTGTGTGCAGGGAACACTGGCCTATGGAAGTTCTCGGTTTTGTTCCTTGAAGGGGCCTGGAGGGGACCTGTGCGTGGTCAGCCTTCACATGCCTACCGCATCATATCAAGCGGGCTTGTTCCGCAGGCGCCCTGGTGTAATCTGGACTTACCGCCCCGACGCTTCCCGCGCCCCCTGTCTCAGTGCCGGGGGGTGAAATTTCACCTGGGTGGAGGAACGATTGTGCCGGATTGATGGGGCGCGCGCGGCTGAGTACAGGGCGCAAGCCGATGCCTTTGCATCATGCTGTCGGCCCCGGGCCGAACTGTGCCGACCCGACCCGGCGCGCCGCGATGTGCGTCATCAGATTGTTTTTGGGAGCTCCCGTCTGGACCGCATCTGCCCTTCGCCTCCCGCTCCCATCCTGAGCGACTTGCCAGTCGCAGTAACCCCGGTGGGGTATGCAGTAAGGCCTGGTGCTCCGTCCGATTGCATCCCCGTAGTTGCGATGATGTCGATTCGGCTCTCCTCGCCGCCCCCGCCCATGTCCCGATATGGGCGGATATGGGTTGCCCGGCCTAAGTTGCGCCTCGGTTTGCGCGGCAGTGGGATTCGCGAGATTGCCATTGACGTGCTCCCCCAAGGGAAGCTCGCTCGGGTGAGAGAAATCTTCCGGCAATGCGCACCGCTCTTCGAACGTCGTTTTACGTGCAGTTTCTTTCGGAATGTGTGCGGGAATTGTGACAAGAAGTCCTTAGACAGCAACCAGCCATGTTGATCAAGATGGGATAGAAAAAGTAGGCACACATAGTTTTCCCAAATAGAAAAACGTAGGAAATAATAATTTTCACTAGGAAGAAGTAGTTCCAAAGTAGTTTCAAGTAAGACATCGTTTTCCCTGCGTAGACATAACATTTCAATGTGAATTTGCGGTTTGGTCAGGACGCGCGCTGCGAATGTGTCGCACTGCAGCCATCATTGCCGCGGCCATTCCGGGCGCGTTGCGCTGCGCCGCATTGCTTGAGGTTCGCAGGCGCGGGGCCGCGCTGCCGAAACAAGCGCGTAGTGTTGGGGGCCATGAATGCAGGGTCGCAGTTCCGGCGTCTTCTTGTAGTCTACAGGGCGGCCCGCGGATTCCATAGTGCGCGGCGCTTTCTGCCAGTTATCGGGGCCGAGCAAGTGGCGGAGCCCCGCCCGCCAGGCCGGCACGCAGTTAAGATGTGTGAATTTGGAACCTCGCGCGGGGGCGGGGAAATTATTTCGCCGATTTAGAATGCAATTTCGAGGTGCCCCCCGGGCCCGCCAGGGGGCCGCCGGGGCCCTCCGGGGAGAGCGCCGCGACCCGCCCGCGGGCCCGCCAGCAGCTGGCCAGGCGGACCTCGGGCCGGGTCCGCGAGAGCTGGCGTGGCCGGCCCAGATTTGCGCGCGCCGGCGCGGCCCGGGCGGGTTTGCAAAACGCGCCGGCGCGGCGGAACCCAAGTTTGCGCGCGCCGGCGCGACCAGGCCCGGACGTGCAAATCCGGGCCCGGCCGAGCCGCGGCTCGGCCGGGCCCGGATTTGCAAAGCGCGCCGGCGCGGCCCCGCATGCAATTATAAAACGCGCCAGCGCGGCCAGCCCAGATTCGCAAAGCGCGCCGGCGCCGCTTGGCCCGGAACTCCCGCGCGCGGCGCCTCCGGGCGCTGGCGGGCCGCCGAAGGGGCGGGGTTCAAAAAGCTATTCTAAATTTCTTTCAAGCTATTTTGAAGCTGCTTAGAACCTATCCCCCGGGGCGCCCGGAATGCCCCCGGAGGGGGGGCAAGAAAAAAACTTCTCCCCAGAGCTATTTGGAAGCTGCCAGAAGCTAGTTGCAAGCTAGAAAACGCTACATGAAAGCTAGAACAACTTACCTCCAGCTACAAAAAACTAGTTTAAACTAGAACAAGCTAGAAAAAACGATCTCCATGAGTTTTAAAAAGCTATATTGGAATTCCTTTTTTGCTCGCCGGGGCGCCCCCGGGCCCGCCAGCCGGTCGCTGGGATTGGCCGGGGGGCCCCCCGGCCAGGCGCGCCGGCGGCTGGCCAGAGGGGGCCTCCGGCGGCCACGGGGTCCGCTGGGGCCGGCGCCGCCGGTTTGGATATGACAAACGCGCCGGTGCGGCCCCGGCCCGATTTGCGAAGCGCGCGGGCGCCGCCGGGCCCAATAATAAACAATGACGCTTAAGCGCGGCCGGGCCGCGCCGGCGGGCGCGGGGGGAGGGGGTGAAAAAGAAGAAGAGGAGGAGGAGGAGGAGGAGGAGGAGGAGGAGGAGGAGGGTAGGAGGAGGCGGAGGAGGATCGAGGAGGAGGAGGAAGGGAGGAGGAGGAGAGAGGAGGAGGAGGAGGAGGAGGAGGAGGGAGGTAGGAGGAGGAGGACGAGGAGGACGGGGGAAGGGGAGGAGGAGGAGGGAAGGGGGCGAGCAGCGAGGAGGAGGGAGGACGGGGGGGGCGGCGGAGGAAGACAACGACGGCGAAGGGGATGGGGCGGGAGAGGCGGGCGAGGGGTTCGCGCCAGGAGAAGGCGCCGCCGCGGCACGGCGAGATGGGCGCGCGACGGGTAGAGGGGGCGGGCGAAAGAGGAGGAGGAGGAGGTGGAGTAGGAGGAGGAGGAGGAGAGGAGGAGGAGGAGGAGGAGGAGAGGAGGAGGAAGAGGAGGAGGAGGAGGAGAAGAGGAGGAGGAGGAGGAGGAGAGGAGGAGAGCGGAGGAGGAGGAGGAGGAGGAGGAGGAGGAGGAGGAAGAGGAGAAGGGGAGGAGGAGGAGGAGGAGGAGGGGAGAGAGGAGGAGGAGGAGGAGGGAGGGGAGGAGGAAGGAGGGGGGAGAGGAGGAGGAGGTAAGGAGGAGGAGGAGGAGGAGGAGGAGGGGAGGAGGAGGAGGAGGAGGAGGAG